AATTGACGTATCACTAGCTTCATAGGTACACATCACGATCACACGAAATGCACATGGTGTTGGTTGGCACGCTGAGTGACGTAGCAATATGGCTGCCCCTCCCCCAATTCTTTGGTTGCCATTGGTTACCAGGCAACCTCTCTATTCTACAGACCTTGGTGTAAATAATCACCATCGATTCTATCGATCTTGATTGTTGCCATTTTTATCACGATGCTGATTGGATGTTTCTCGGTGACGTTTTTTGGATGCGCGTTTCTCGGTTCATGTCGTACATATGTATACTAGCTGTAATCGCAATGATAGATTGTGTTTATTGACAGAACAAAATAAAAATAATAGCGTATGCGTAGCGCGCGCCTGTGTTGTGCTAGTATACAGAATGTCCCACTTAACTTGAGCATCCTAAATATCTCGCTTATTTTTCACGATAGAAGGATGCTAAAAGGGGACATTATTCAGTTTGAGAAGACAAATACCGTAAAAAAACAAAAACTTTTCTCAAAGTCATATTTTTTAGGATTTCAAAGTCATTGTCATTTTTTATCTGCAAATACATATTTTTATCATCGCGATATGATAGCCAAGGTCAAGACGAATCTAACGACCTACAATACTATGACCTTCACGTAACCTTGAGTATGAAAACTTCACAAAAATTGTACAAAAAAAATAATTAGTGAAATGACTACAAGGAAATATTAACAATAGTAAATATATTTCAACAAGAGTTCTGAATAATGTTCATTAACTTCAATACATTTATGTAAACCTATGTAAACTAGATTATCATAAGAGAGAAACTATTTTCAAATCCTTTTTATTTGTACGTAATATCTCACAATTTTCGAATAAATCACAATGAATTTCTGAAATTCGTGCCGATCTCTGAATCATACTAATTTCTGAATTATAAACAAAAGAAGAATAATAAATGTAAATACGACTTCATAAGATATGTTGATATTGAGACAAGGAACGTGTTTACTAAGTAGTCGGCTTAATGCTAGTACCTACTAAAAACATAAAAATAATTTAAAAATAGTTCCTCTTTTATGATAATTCTAATCGTAAATAAAAAATCAAAACAGTTCTATGAGATGTATGAACTGAGCTTTCGATAATGAATGTCGTGTATTTTAAAATAATTAGTTAACGTTTTCTCTGACGTTTCTTCACGTCTCAACCAGAGTTCCGAGATCGTAATATATACATATGTATATACATTTATATATACGTGTTCACGTGTAAATCTTACACGTGAGTTTTTGAATTGAAATTTCAATTCTTAAATTCATATAGAATGCTATATTTGCATCTCATATATGATGTATATCTAATTTTAAAATATTGCGAAAAAAACTTCTCGGCTAGAATTTCCGGCTTTTCGTGCCGTTTAGAAACTTCTAGAGATCTAAGAAAGATTTTTTAAATAATTGTATAAATATTATATCCGAAAACGTTGCAAGTGTCGCAAAACGATTTTGCTGCATTACATTGTCAAAAATATTTAATTGTATAATTTTATGCATTAAAAAATTAAAATATTGTAAAATATTTATACTTTAAATTGGACTTTTTTCATTTTTGACAAATATTATTTACAAAATTTTAATCTGACAAAACTGTGTTGCATTATGGCGAATCATCTTAGTGCAATCGTTGCGAAATTTTTTGTCAATTCATGATGCCATTTTTGTGCAATATTTTCACAATTTGTCTATTAGAGTTAAAAAAGATACCTTGTTATCTATCAAAGCGGTTAGACACGTCCCTATCACAAAGTAACAAACACGCGAAAACATTCTGGTAAACTTTTGTATATGTACCAAATGATTGTCTAAAATTGCCATATATGGTTTTCGCAGGTATAGAAAGTATATAATTTATATGCATGTTTCTCTTATTTAACAGTTTAATTGCAGAATAACATTTTATTGTTCTCATAAAAAATACATTTATTTTTATTGTTTTGAGAAAAATATCAACAAACAGTATTATTAATATGTCATCACTAAAGTTCATCCGTTGTATCGAATATTTTTCTAGGTTTCTCTCTTTTTATGAAAGCTGTATTATATGTACATATCATCATGCATTGGAGGTTTCTTAATAACATTCGAAACATTAATAACATTCACTGTTTTTTAGAACAAATTATTATTTTTTTAGAGCAATACTAAAATGAAAAGACACATCACGTGTAATAGTTGCTTCGCAGAGTGCAGCGTTTATATAAGATGATGAATAATGTTAGAAAAGCAATGTTAAAATATTTGGTCAAACGTGGACTATGTTTGTATATTTTTTTGGCCCTATGTCTTTTGCAAATATTAATTTATATATGCTTCTTAGAAAAAGATTTGAAAAATGAAATTTAATTCAACATATTCAACAAATGACTTAAAGGTTTCTCGTAAATATTCCTCATAAGGATCACGATTATGTGTTTCAGTTGCTCTTGATATCTAGGCTGTGTTTGGGGAGCGCGCTTTTGTTACGAACGCACTTTGGCGATGTGTGAAGGTTTGTAGCGTTACCAAAATGTGATGTTGACATCATTGTTTTTACATTGCAACGTCATCACTCGCGCTAACTTGTGCTCAAGATTTCAAGACACGATATGCTAATAGCGCTTATAACGTTAAAATGTGTTCTTCGAACGTTGTGCAAATGTCATTTGCTCGATTTGAACAAATACTTATTATTTATTTATTTATTAAAATCAAAATCAAGAAGCTTTATCAAAATTGCGGCAATTTCACCCAAAATTGCAATCTGTTGCGATGCCAAATCAATATAGTTATTTTCATTTATGTTTGTCATGTTGCTCAACTCACAATACAACAAAAAGCTTTTAGTTCGCGGAGCTTGCAACTGTGAGCGCTACATGACTGAATTAGCGTTAGCGTCTTGTAACCGCGTTTTGTACCTAAACACAGTCCTAGAAATCTCTCTGTTTTGCAATCTGTTCATTTACAGTGAATCATGACTTTAATAGCTCCACCAGCTCCTGTCCTGCTAGTCTCGAACGCTTGTTTGGTGTCTTCGATCTTGTAATTGTGAGTGATTAATGGCTTTACATCTACTTTACCTGACGCGACAAGCTCTAGTGCATCCTTATAGCTGTGAATTCGAAAGAACAGCATGTCATATACATCTCTTCTATTTAATATCTAAAGCATTTGTTTGAGAAATTATTTAGTTAAAACTTACTCGTTTGCGTATCGAAAGACACCTCTGATATCAACTTCTCTGGTTATTGCATTGATCAGCGGAATCTGAATCTCCGGAGCAGTGTTCCCTACTACTACCATGACTCCACCAGACTTGGTCGCCTAACGGTGCAAAAATACAATTACAATCCAGATAGTTGCTCTTTATGTGTACTCAGAAGTATTTTTCAAAACTCACGAGGATCGCCAAACGAATTGAGGCTTGTGCACCGGAGGCATCGATCGTTTTGTTAGGTTCCTCGCCGAAAATTGTGTGAATGTCAACTACCATATCCTTTTCCGCTTTATCTCTTTGCACCAGATACGTATCATCGGCACCGAGTTTCTTTGCCATGTTCAGTCTACTTTCTACAATATCTGCGAGCAAAAATCACACTATTTGCAGGTTCTATGAATCGCAAAGTTTTGTTCAAATAAACATAAGTTACTTACAGAATTATTATTGTGCTATATTCTCAAAAAAAGAAGAGGAAAATATGTGTTATAAAAAAGTTAAATATTTTTTTTTTTAAGTAACGCGTTCTGTGCTTCTGTTGCATAATTCAAGAAAAATTAGAAAAACGATTAAAACGCGATGTGCAATAATACACGCGTGATCTCGACAGCACATATCTTCGTTTCGCAAGTAGCATCTCGTTAAATCACTCTGTAACACTCACGGTAGCTTATCTAATCATTGCGATACTGTCTTTGAGAACGCGTGTAAATATTTTCCTCTCTCTTACGTATAATAATTACGTAACTTTGATACCGCTTATCACTACATTTTATTATCAGTAATAAACAGATTGCGATGTAACCTATTTACTTCAAAAACTGACATTATCGAACGTAATCGCTACAGAATTTTCCCTATTTATGATACAGTATCTCTATCGCAACTTGTAACTGTGATAAAGAACTAATTAGAGTGCGGTCACATGATCGAAAAATCCAATCTTTGCAAATAAACAAGCTATTCGTCTCAATTTTTAATGCTTTTTCAGTCATATAGTACATAATTTTACAAAACTGATTTACTCTGATTGATTGTCTCTCCACCATAACTCGGTTTTTTATTCCGCTTTTATGGAATAAAAAAAGTTATGGAAAATCAACCAATTAGAGTAATTCTATTCCGTATAAAATTATATCTTATTAAAATTATATAATTCCCAGGTTACTAAAATCGAAACAGAATAGCTTGTTTATTTGCGATTGCGGTTAACTTCTTGTTATATTTTTTTCTGTTTTTTGGATTGCATGTGACTGCATCCTTTTTTACTTGGACGCGTTACAGATGTATAATATGATAGATTTAAACATCTTTTAAAATGTACCAGTAATAACTACTTTGTTGGCTCCCATGGCTTTAGCTACAAGTAATGTTACTAGACCGATCGGACCAGCTCCCAAGATTAACACCTTGGAGTCAATTCCGATTCCACCCCGTTTGCATGCGTGCACTGCAACAGACAAAGGTTCCAACAACGCTCCTTCCTCTAAGCTTACATGATCTGGCAACCTGTCCCAAAACAGTTGTGAATACAAAAATTATGTTCATTTTTCAGATGTGATATTACATTCAAACAGCACTATCTTCAATTACATACTATCTTTTGATATCAATTTATGAATATAAATCAATTAGAATATAATTAGAAAATGCAAGACAATTTGTACTTAAACTCACTTGAAGCAGAAATCAGCTGCGTGTTTATAAAACCGTCTCAAACTGCCGTGCACGGGAGGAGTTGCGCAGAATACTATGTCTTTACACAAGTTGTAACGTCCTTCTTTGCAGAACGAACACATTCTGCATGGCACACCAGGCTCGATGGCAACGCGATCACCGACCTGTAACACGAGAAATAAAAAATGCATACGTATCATATTTTATTAAAAGAAAAAGAGAATAAAATCGAAAACAATAAATTCTTTTCAATATATTATAGAAAAAAATTATATATATATATATGTATGTACATATAATTTTTTATATGTATATTTTTATGTATATTTTTTATACACCCTGTATATATATATATATATATATATATATATATATATATATACAAGGTGTATGAAATATATATATATACAAGATGTATAAAAAGTACTGGTGCCGCGAAAAATCTTGAAAACTAGGAATTTTACGACAAAGTGTTTCAGATAAAAGTTTTAGTATTTTAAAAAATCTATTTAGTCTTATCAGTTAGATCTATTTGATCTTATCAGTTTGACATTGCAAGATCAAGACAAGGTCACCTTGAAGTTTTTAAATAGAACATTCTAGTTTTTTATTTCAGATTCTTATAGCTTAATTCAAGAACTTTCCAAAACACTATAATAAAGTTTATTTTCATTAAGTACTTTTTGATTTATGAGGGTTGAATATTAAAGTATCGCCAGTATTAGCATTATCTATTGACGTTATCATTCATTTCGAATGTTGCTTTATCCAAACAAACTATGTTGAATAGGAAGGTAGTTTCTTTATCAATTTTCTGCATCATGAGCTCACAAAATTTGTTTCGATCAAAATNATCTTCGTAGAAAAAGTATCGGCGGTACTCTAATATTCGATCCTCATAATTCAAAAAGTACTTAAAGAAAATAAAAACTTTATTATAACGTTTTGGAAAGCTCTTGAATTAAGCTATAAGAATCTGCAATAAAAAAATAAAAAATTTCATTTAAAAAAATCGATGTGACCTTGACTTGACCTTGGCAGCGCCATCCAAGATCACACTGATACAATCAGTAAATAAATCCTTTTAAACTTTACAACTTTTATCTGAAACACTTTCGTAAAATGCCTACCCACACANACATCCATCCATCCAGACATNCATTAGACATCTATTAGATGTCGCATGGAGCTGTCGACGTCTAATAAGATGTCTAATGGAGTTTTTGTTCTGTGTGGGTAGTTTTCGAGATTTTTTGCAGTACCGGTACTTTTTATACACCCTGTATATATATATATACATACCTTCAAATTTTTGACGTTCTTCCCAAGTTTGGCAACAGTACCGGAAGACTCATGGCCTATGATCATCGGTTTCTTCACTATGAAGTCACCAATCCTCCCGTTAACGAGGTAATGAACATCCGATCCGCAAATTCCTACGCATCCCATCTCCAGAAGCACTTCTGTCAAAGAATATTTTAACCGTAAAATTAACTGCCATCATCCCCACTCTCTCTTACTAAAAATAATATATACACATATAAACAGAATTGTGTTTCTCTATTAAAATTTCATATAAACAATATAAAATTAACTCTTATCTTAATAGTTTAGTGGATTTTTTTTAAGTTCTTTTTTTCATTTTTTACAATTTTTACACGACTTCTTTATCATGTTATATCTAAAACAGCGTTGCATATTACTACTACAATGAATGTTGTCATGCATGTTAATGGTACTCAATGTAAATTGATTCAAAGTTCTGACGTTATACGACGTCAGGACTTTGAAATGTGAAAGATAGCTATCTTTCACATTTTCGAACAGATACAAAAATAAGACGCTTTTAACATATTATTTTATTCTTAATTTTAAATAATATTATATAAAAGTTATCGATTTATATTAGATTCTTATTTGTAAAATCATATCGATACGTGTACGGAATCGACTTTTATACAAGTTTCTTATCGTCAATGAGGCGATAAGTGCAAGAGTTTCACAAGGTGAAACTCTTTTCACTGTATTTTTTATTATTGACGATAAAAAAATATTATTTCCAAAAGATTCAATAAGAAACGAGCATTTTCTNTTACCATTGTCCTCCGGATCTTCGATACTCGTGTTCTCCTAGAAAAAAAGATTCCATATATTTATCTGATACTTATTAAATCTAATCGCAGAGTATGTATTTTGTTTATATAGAATCGATAGCTCTTTTTGAAAAGATTAACAAGTGTGAATAGACGCAAAATGAATTTTATTATCCAGTTCTAACTTTTTATTTTTTTTTTCATCTACTTGATAAATATCAAAAGATTACTAAATTAAAATAGTTCGTCACTGTAACATAAAAAAATATTTGCCATTGTCATTGTAACATAAAAAAATGATTGCGAATACTCGAACGATGCAAAGATGCGATCGATTTGCANGGCACTTATATGTGCTGCGCTTTTTCTACGTGTTACAGTTGGTTTAAAAGTCAGAGTTAATATATGACTGCATTTAGTAACAATAATTTGAACATTAAAAGCAACGATCTCAACTTTGACATTCCGTGTTATCAATTATCTCTTGGATTATATATTACACAAGAAAAAATATGATTGTTCTCTTAAAAAATATATAATACTGCAGTACTTTGTTTACAAAAAAATAAACTTTACGTAACATCCTAGCAAACACAGAATATAACTGCTATATAACATAGAAGTAACAGCGTGATATACGTAATATAACAGCTGTTATACTCTATTAACATCGATGTTATGTAACTTTGTTTTATAAATGTAATATAATTATGTTATATATCTATTATATTGCTTGTTATTAGCTGGTAATGACATTATAACTTTCATATAACATTTCTGTAACTATATAACGATTATATTACATTCTACTTACATGTTATATTCATATTATATAACTGCAATATACGATAAGTAAGAAATTACAACTAACATGGATGTTACATGCAACAATGATGTTATATTACTTGTTACATTTGTTTTATTACGACAATGTTGCTGTTATATATCTGTTTGCTGGGATTTGTTGTAAGTTGTAACTTATATTAATAATTCCTATTATATATAATATTAGAAATGATATTTTGTCAAAATTATTTTTTAAAGCACGATAACAAGTGAGGTAGTATTAAAACTCGCTTGAATAAATAGTTCATAATTTAATAGTTCAAAGAACAAAGATACACGGAGTTACAAAATCCCTGTGATATGGTCCCTGTGTTAATGTTATAACTTACATTTTAACGATCGGACTTTTACTTTAAACTTTCTATACAAGAACTTTAGATTTTTTTAGCTGTTATATACTTTGGCACTATTTTTTAAGATAAAAAATATAAGTATGTTCAGATATTAAAAAAGAAAGAGACAAAACTTTGATTCAAACAGTTCGATCGTAAATAATTGTAATTGTATTGAAGAAATTGTATTTTGATTTAATGACCTCTTGCAATTTTTCTCGTTTATAAATTAAAAGAATGAAATTTTTAACTTGAAAAGATTACAAGAGTGGTACATTTGAGCAAGCGCAGCAGCAACCAGGTCATACACTTCCATACTGACCAGACGCAAATCGTTAATTCCGTACAGTATCGCAGTAAGATTGTCCCGGGTCATGATTCTTCCTCAGTGAAATTCGGGGTTGACAAGCGATTTTTCAGCAGCTGTCGAGGAAGCTGCGGCTTCTGACTATTTTGACAAACACAGAGCGGACGACACAAGACTCAGTGTCTCACGAAGGAACTCGCACCGCTATATATACGCGCCGCGCTCAACTACAATGCGCTTCACGCGCTATCATCCGACCTTATTATCGCTAGCTAAGCTGTTCGGATTGCCACCGGCAGCGGCGGCAGCAAGCATCCCTCGGGACACAAATTTATCGAATTACTCGACTCGTTCATATTTCGCGATTGTGTTTGCTAACCGTTGCGTAATCGCGAAAGTATACACACATCGTTGCTTCGTCGAAACTAGCATAAATCGATCTGAGCCGTGATCAGTCGGTCACATGTTACGCTGTAACAACGTAGTTATGCGATTTAATTTACAAATGCGTTCGATAAAATAGAATGTAATATCGCTTGATTGTGTCTTCAGACTCTTTTTATACTTGTAGCTTTGAAATTGAACAGTTGTTTTCTAAACCAATACTTAAACTCATTTCTTGAAAAATGAAAGATATGCGATACACATCAGACCTTCATCTATTTAAACCTTTGACCTTCGCCTAAGAGATATATTATTCAAAACTATATGATGACTGATATTTCTCGTTTTGAAAGAAGAAATTGTAAATAGATTATATTATGTAAGAAGGAATGAAGAGATTCGAACAGAATATAGACTACCTATAACTCGGGGCGATGACACGTAGCCACAATTGTGAATCGAAAATACTGCATAAATGTTTAATTGGAATCTTGTAGTTGTGTGAACTGTTTTAAGAACAGCAATGATAATTAGTCTTGACATAAATGTTTGTAACTTTCCAATAGTACACACATACTTAGTATCTTATCTACATAACAAATTTTTTGTTATAAAGCAAGAATAAACAAAAGCTCCGCTCGTGCAAGTGTTATAACGATAATGAATGAAATTCATACGACACAAACACTTGCAATGAAATTAGATAACGCATAAATGATAGAAATTTCTAAATTTAAAAAACAAAAACATTTGCGATGCTGAATATTATATATTTGTATCAAACAAGAGTAACAAAATTTTATTTACATTATTTGTAAACATAGTATGCGTAATAAACAAAATTAAAAAGGAATATAACCTTTTTAATTTTTATATCGCACAGCCTTTTGGATACATAAATAGCATACGTATTCATTCATTTATCATCACCTCCTCCCCATATGCCTGATTCTTGGTACTCTATTATTGCCAATCGATTTTCTCTCCGTCTCCTTGTTATCGCAGCTGCTTCTCCCTTGACAAGTAATCTCATTGATCGATTTCGTCTATCGCGTTTGTCAAGTGCCACTTTCGTTCTCTTCTTTATCACATCCGGCGCGATTGTGGCAACTGTCGAAACACTCCGTATACTTTGCGTTTCATCACTGTTTAACGAACTTCCCATTACTGAACCTTCGCTGTCCTGTTTATGCTCATTTTGTGGATTATTTTGATTTTTCAAAGACGCTTTGCTCAACGCTGTCTTTTTCACTTCATCAAAACCTTCTTTCACTAAAGTTTCTACTTCAAGCTTTAAATCGTTGATCTGATGTTCCAAACTTTCGATATCATCATTACAGTCTTCATAAATTTCATTCTCGCTATCTTCATTTTCCTCTTCGTCATTTGCCTCAACAATACCAATTTCTTTCATAAGATCCTTTTCCATTTGCTTTGTTAGACCACTAGCTCTGACTTCAGCATCTATAAAATCCTCACGTCTAAAAACATTTTGGTTTAATTAGCAAAACCTCCAAGGATAGGATCGGTATGACCCAATCAAAGTTCAGTAGTGACACTCTACATGGTGAAAGATTATTACATGAGAAACATATGTCAAATTTTAACTTTGGCATATTGAAGATACTCAAGATATAAGCAAGCGAATACTGAGGATATAATCATAAATATGCATTTTACGTCACACTTCATCGATTTTCCATCATTTTTGTTGCGTTTTAGATATGTTGTAGGGAAAGTCATACTGAGTAATTCCCCACCAAAATTTTGCGAGACAGCTTTGGTTTAGAAGATATGACAATTTAAAGTTTCTGAATTTAAGGTAAAATTGCACGTTAGCTACTCCCTCTTCGATCTTTGTAAAACTTGATATCTTTATACATTTTTAGTCGCTGAAAACGAATGTGAAAGAATTTTTTGTCGGTTGGACATATTCAAGCCGCCATCTTGAAAAAACGTGTAAAAAAAGCGTTTTTCACAATTTATCCAGAATATGCAAGAAGGCAAAGCCCCCTGCCTACACTACAACATGAACATAAAAAACAAAAAAAAGTATTTTTATATTCGTATCGTAAATGTGTAGGCAGGAGGGCTTTACCTCCCTGCAGAAAAAGAGGCTTCGTCCCTTTTCCTGCATCCCTCCCCCTCCTAAATAATCGTGAAAAACGCTTTTTTTACGTTTTTTCAAGATGGCGGCTTGAATATGTTCGACCAACGAAAATTTCTTTCACATTCGTTTTCAGTGACTAAAAATACATAAAGATACCAAGTTTCACGAAGATGGAAGCGACAGTAGCTAATGTGCAACTTTACCAAATTCAGAAACTTTAAATTGTCATATCCCTTAAAGCAAAGCTGTCTTTCGTAAAATTTTGATAGAGAATTATTCAGTACAACCTGCCTACAACTAATCTATCTATCTATATCTAGAGTGCAACAAAACTGAGCAGAAAATCGATGAGACTACTTAAAATGCGTATTTACCTCTCAGTATTCATTCGCTCATATTTCCAGTATCTTCAATATGCCAAAGTTAAAACTTGACATATATGTTTCATCATGTACAGTGTTACAACTGAACTTTGGTTGGGCTGTCATACCATATCACTCCAAGCCAACTCCAAAACAAAATTAAAAACTGTATAATCTTTCCATTACTTACAATATATCTTTGAAAATTGGGTACAATTCACTCTCGTAGCCAAAACGCCTTTTGAAGAATTCACGAATGCAGTCAACATCTCTTTGAAAGTAAAATTCCGCATTTTGATGCTCAGTAGAAATCATCTGTGGAAAATCAATGATAACAGGCTTGCCATCGTCTTTTATCATTACATTGAATTCATTGAAGTCCCCATGTATAACACCATGATTTGCTAATCTGACGATCAAATCCATGAGCTCGTCGTACAATGCTTCCACATTCTCCACTTCATGTACATTACATCTAAAAATATAACACAAAGTTATACATTACATGTATAAAGAAACAGAATTTAAAAAACAAAGTAAAATTAAAAATACTAACATATTAATATCTAACATATTGATAAAAATACTAATAACTTACAGAGGTCCACCTTCAACCAGCTCCATAATCAAGCAATGCCTGTTGAAATCAATTGGCTTTGGTACAGGAAAACCTCTATCGAGCAGTGCCTTCAAATATACATATTCTCTGGTTGCTGAGATTCTTGAGAGATATAACCAAGATGCAGAATATCTGTGCTGATGATAGTCCCTTTTTCCTTTGATATTTCGAAAACAAGTTCTGCCAAGCCTGTGTAGCTTGAGACACAGAGGAATGCCTTCCTCGTTACTGACAACATAAATATTAGATTCCTTCCCAACACCAATCTGGTTACCAAAGTGAGAGATAGTTCCCCTGTGAGTTAGGACTTTCAATGCCAAGTAATCATAACCAGCATTTGTCAAGCGATAACCATCATCTGAAAATTTTGTCAAGTTATGTAATTAGATATGCATATATTTTAACACACAGTCAATTTAAAATTAGTATATTGCTTTTTGATTTTACATCTCATTCCTCGTTCATATCTTAGCAGTTTGTGTTTGCATAATTCCTTCAACAACTTATTGACTCCACCATAACGCAGATTCGCTATCTGCGCAGCAAGGCATGCAGGCACGAGTTCGTGATTTTTCATGCCCATTTCGATCTGCAATTTAAAATTGTTACAAATACACTAAAAGTGTGATATAAAAATAAAATTCCATAGAAATTCATCGAAAAACTTTCGAAACAAATTGCAGAATTAAAGAAATGATTACAGAATGAAGACCAACTCACCGCTGTTAACACGCGAAACTCTTCTGAGCTAAGATATCGTAACATCTTAACATTTAGCTTCCCCATGTTGACTGGATTAAATGTTATAACCAACGCTTATTCTCTAACCAACGTTTAGCAACTGTAAACGACCAACGCCGATGTTTAACTTGATGCAAATATGGCTTACGACCGACGCCAACCTATCTACGCCAATCCACGCCTTCCACGCTAAACACCGTTAATATACTCGAAGATGGCTGAAGAATATCTACAATCTACGTCACAGTCATGTAAAGCCTATGTCACACTACGGATTTGGATTGAGATTGGATTGCAATTTGGCCAATCAGAGCGAAGATCAGTAAACTTAAGATTGATTTTCTTTCTTCTGATTGGTCAAATTTCAATCCAATCTCAATCCCAATCCGTAGTGTGACATAGGCTTAAGGGCGGTGTCCTATTATGGCTAGTCTACAATGAAGGTAGTACGGCTGTAGAAGTAGAGAGTAAACCAGAGAGAAGCCTGAGAGCGGCCATGCCATTGTAGTTTCTTAAGCCCCTTGCACAATGGACGGAATAGCGATAGCGATAGAAATAACACAGTTTTTAACACAGAATTTCAACTCGTCGGAAATTTTATCGCTATTACTTATTCCGAATTTCTGATCTGCATTGATACATATGTATTTTTGTATGTTAGATTCCGCTGTTCCTACCTTTATTTTTAAATATAAACTCTTTAAAACTTTTGTTATTTCTATCGCTATTGCTATTCCGTCCATTGTGCAAGAGGCTTTACGACGGTTTCAGCTGCTGGTTTTAGCCGTATTTTCACAAAAGTGGAACTCAAAGGCCGTTCTACATTAAACGCAAGTAACAGATCTCGTAGAATTGACTAATTGCAGAGTCAAATCAGCCAATCGACCAACGTGATTGATTAGTTCCACGAGACCTGCGACTTGAGTTTCATGGAGAACGGCCTTTGAGTTCCACTTTTGTGGAAATACGGCTAAAACCAGCGGTTGAAACCGTCGTAAGAAACTACAATGGCATGGCCGCTCTCAGGCTGGATCCTCATGCAGACACCGGCGCTTTGACACCGAACGTTGATTGGTGAAAAGCAGGTGGTGAGAGTAAATTAGAGCTGCCATTTACCCTCACCATCCGCTTTTCACCAGTCAATGCTCGGCATATATGTAATACTCCTATATTGCTAGTCGCGTATCTTCGCAATGAGAGGCACGAGGCCCGAGAAAGGGAGACGCACGAAGTCCAAATATGGGCATAGATGGTCGAGTGTCATTATGCGCAGGCGCATCTACCAAGTGAGTGCGAGCGAGACAAAACATTGGAAAGTGAGAGAAAGAACGCGAGAAAGAGAAATGCGCAAGCGTGCTTGAATGTTCACCGCATGCGCACAAAGCAGCTGGAGAGAGAGACTACTATATTGTCTGCACCGTAACGATGAGCTTCAGGTCGGCACCGTACTAGCAATATAGGAGTATTACATATATGATGCTCGGTGTCAAAGCGCCGGTGTCTGCATGAGGATTCAGCCGCAGGCTTCTCTCTGATTGTCTGCACCGTAACATTTAAGCTTCAGGTCGGCACCGTACTAGCAATATAGAAGTATTATATATATGGGTCTGTACCGTGATGTTTTTGGAACTTTTCAAGCCAAACGAGCAATATAGAAGTATTACATATATGGTGTCTAAGGCCCCGATTCTTTAACCAGAGAGATGCTTTAACTCACTCGTAAGAGAAACGTATGCGCAAACTCAAAGTTACGAGCGCTTAAATATAAAAAACCTATAGGAAAGTGTTCGTAACTTTGAGTTTGCGCATACGTTTCTCTTATAAGTGAGTTAAAGAATGCGTTCCGTTTTACGCATATGCGCGCATTTATCTATAGTACACGTCACGTATAATATAGACAAATGCGCGCATATGCGTGAAACGGAACGGAGCTAAAGAATCGGGCCCCAGACTCATACTATAGGGACTCTAGTATATATATGGCGGTGATAACAAAAAAGCATAGAGATAAAGGAGGGAGCATTAAGGGATATTATAGGCGCGGGGAGTGAAGCCTTAGACCATATATACTTATAGACACGGCCTGTAGATATGAATCCACGAGTCAAGGTGAAGCAAAGATAATATCATCTACGTGACGTCACATGTGGGCATTTCAGCAATGGCTAAACGCGGCCTCGTAGATGATATTATCTTATCTTCAAGGCGGTTATCTGAAGCCGTCTATAAACGCGCCTTTGCTTTGCCCACATGTNACGTCATGTAGATGATATTATCTTTGCTTCAAGATAGTTGTCTGAAGCCGTGTCTATAAGTATATATGGTCTAAGAGTGAAGCCTTCTTCTTCTTCTTTGCTTCTATGGCTCACGCCCCTGCGAGAGAGGAGCAAACGCCAGTCTACTGATATACATTCTCAGAACGAATGTGGGGGGGGGGGATGTGCAGTTTTTACCTACTACCACGCGATACACGGCCGTCTTTCACAGGGGGCGTGCCCATCTGTGTCGGGCTCGTGCTCAAGATGGTATGACTACAATCGCTTTGTGGGAGGGAAATTAATTCGGGATTACACCCGAATTAATTATTGGAGGCCCGATTCAGTTCGCCAATCAACCGATAAANTCGGTTGAAAGGGACCGGCCCGGAAAAAATCCTTAGATGGTGAGCGGATTCGAACTCGGGACCTCCAGGTTCGCAGCCCCTGCACTCAGGCCGCGAGACCACTGGGCCGGTCTAAGAGTGAAGCCATGGTGCGGGGCTTAGACCATATATACTTATAGACACGGCCTGTAGATA